TATAATTAATGATCTTATGAAACCTTAATAGTAATTTTCCCTTTATTCATTCCAAATATAACTTGGATTAAAAAAAAAAAGCAACAAATTTATGGTCTTTATCTTTTTTTTTATTTCATTGGTTTTAAGAATAATCGATTTTAATTTAAGTAGACTTGGTAACTTTCTAAGAATGGGGATGGAAGAAAGGATCCAAAGAGAAAAGATGCGCTGGAATTAGTAAAAATTGAGACGCGTTATTTTGGAAGATGAAGAATGGACGATGGTGGATGCAGCACGGAGGGGAAGGGCGATCAATCCTTCCAAGCGGGAATGGGAGGGAAGCCAAGCGTTATTGAAGAGGAGAATCAGATGAGACAACACGAAGCACTGAAGAAACCAAAACGAAAAATAATGGAAGAAGAAGAAAGAGGAGGGAAGAAATTGGCATTGGAAACTGATGCTGGAAAAGAAAATAAAGATACTCCCTCTAATTTAAAATATAAATACTTTTTTAAAAAAATTATCAATAAAATTTCTATTCTCATAAAAGTATATTGTTTTTTCTTTTTATCTCTATCCCAATTACCAAATCATTCTGTGATGAGTAAAAAATATATTTATATAAACATCTAGGTTAATAAAAATAAGTGGTAAAATAATAAAAAATTAAATATATTAAATTACTTATATTTTAAATTAAAATTAGCTGAAGAACAACTTTTATATTTTTGATTAAGAAGAATATCCTCTTTGAAATTTATTGGGCTTGGCAAGAGCAGTTTTTTATTTATTAGTGCGGAGGCAAAGGAATAATGTTGAATTATATTTCCTCATTCCAATTTATAATATATTTTTAAATAAAATTATATATACCAATAAGATTTATTAAATATATTTTAAAATTTTATTTTTTAAATAAAAATATAAACTTTTAAAAGTGCATTTCATTTAATATTCTATTAGTAGAAGAATATTAAAGAGAAAAAAATATGATATGAATGGCAATATTAGAAAAGTATTATTAATGAAGTCTTATTTTTGTTGAAATGTCTTATATTTTGATATATCAAATTTTTTTTAAAAAGTATCTTATAAACTAGAACATACGTAGCATGGATACAAGGAAGCCTACATTGGACCAATAAATCCTTGAAGCCATCATTTAAGATTTGAGTTAGCATGATTCATAGGGGACTAGGGGTCTCTCTCTCTTTTTTCCTCCCTTTCCCTCCATTTTCTCCATCCCCACCATTCAAATTTTTTATTAAATATTTTTTTAAATGAAAAAAATTAATGAATGATGAAAATGGGGGAAGTGGAAGGAAATGGAGGAAAAAAAAGTAGAGAGACCCCACTTCCATTCATAAGAAACCTATCTTATAAGCCTTGGTCTTGTTCATAAATCATTCTCAATAAGCTTTATTAGAACTAACAAAAACTTCAAGACTAATTAGTAACTTTAAAATTTTATGACGTTTTAACTATATCTTTGTTAAAGATACATACTTTAACAATGTATTTTATCTATTACTAACATTTGATGTGAGTAAAAGAAAAAATTTATAATAAAAAGTCAATAACATGCCTTATAATTATAAATATGACTTAAAAATCATTCTCTAACTTCTAAATAGAATGGAGGAAAGTATTAATTAAGCCAAAGAACATGAGAGTACCCAATTCAAACATGGAGGCTAGAGTGGGAACAAAAGAATGTGACAATGCCTAGATACTCAACATTGAAGCGAGTTCTGCAAGAGATTCAACATCAAACAACTATAAAAAATGTATAATGTATTTCATATAATTTAGTTCATTTTAAACGAAGGTGTTATTGTATATATAACTAAATAGTTGAAATGACCAATGATTAATTGAAAAAAAAATAGTGATCTTGATAAAGTGTTGAATGTGTACTTGAACAAGTGTGCTCATCGCTTAACAATCAATGATGAATAACAAGTAACTTCAAATCGAACTATATTATATATAGACTATAGATCACGTGCTATGATTGTTTTGAGAATTAATTATAAGTGATAATCATGTAGCTTAATTGAAAGCCAGTGTCAATCTCGAGCCATCTTTCGCACGTTAATACTTTTGAGCTGTAATTTAACATTTTTTCCCACATTGGTATAAGTTTAATTAATTAATAGCATGTTACGGCGAGTGAGTGTTATAAAGTCTTGTAGGGTTTCCTTGTGAAAGCTTTTCTCTCTCATTTAGTGGGATTTTTATTCTATGGCTTTTGTTCCTCAACATCTCTCTCGCTGACTTTTGTCTTGAGAAAGGCATCCGACGCAGGTGTGCTTTGTTAGTTTTTCATCATTTTTGGTTGTTTTGAGTTAATTCTCCCTCCAATCTAAGTTGTTAAGAAGGGAATGGGGGTTCATTTGGTATAGGTGAGGTAGAGATTATCTACATGACATGATGGTTAATCATGGGTTTTGCAACTTCTTCTCATAGGCTCAGATGTATAAGGTTTTTCCAGCATCAATGTTGATGATTTATGTTTGTCTTTGGGAGTTTTGGCTTGGGCTTCTCAATTTAATAGGCAGTAGTTTGTGGCAGAGATTAGAGTGTTTTTTTGTAATGGTATATGGTTTGTTGTTGTTACTAGTATTTTGGTTCTTTTTATATAGAATCTTGATGTGTGGAAATAATAAATTTACTATTTGAATAATAGTTATTGTTTACATAAGAATGTGACTGTCCGGACGATTCTATAAATCTTATTCCTATTTTTCAATGGGACTTTTACTCTTTCAAAGTTTTCAAAACAGTGACAACATTTATTGCCCTTTTTTTGGTTTTGTTTTACGGTATGTGATGGTCCTAGTGGTGTCATTTTTTTTCCTTGTGTCATTTTGTATGATTTAAGGTTTTTTTTTATTATTATTTCACTTGTTTGTGCTTTGCTCGTCGCGCTTGGTTTGTATTTGTAAATCCTTCAGTTTTCAATAATATTCCATACCTCTAACCAAAAAAAAAAAATCATACAGTCTTGTGGGAAAAAAAAGTGTTACATAATAGTCACTAAAAAGGGTGAGGGTATAATTGAATTAACCAAAAATTTGAAACTTAAAAAAGTGCTCGTGATGCGTGCTTGTGTATGCTAGTTACGAGAGACTATTGTGGTCTGTCAATTACCAAAAAGAGGCCTTCCAGAAAGCCAAGCTGAGAAAACAATGCCAACATCCATTTAGTGCTCATTTAAAATTGCCCAATGCTCGAATTGATTAGCTCCTCAAATTTTGTAGAGTTCACATTTTTTATGCTTTGCCTCTTGATTGTATAAATTTTTTGTGCACTAATATGAGATATCATATCATATAACACAGTTTTTTCATAGCTTTCTATTAAGAAAAAAAAAATTGCTCAATGAGTGTGCCAGGGGGAAAAAAATCAGTGTGAACAGGCTTCGTCATTTTCGGATGCTACTGCAATTGGTGACGTGTTTTTGGGACAAAAAAAGCAGTACTCGAAGCTTTTAAGTACTTTTTTGCGAGGGACGTCCATGCAAAAGATGCAATTATGATTCAAGCTTTAACCTGGATCCGTCGAGGCATTAAAATGTCAAACGGGGGCAAGAAGAAAGGCACTAATTAATAATACATCAATTTCAATTTGCACCAGAAACTGCACAAATTAAGACATAGTAGTACGTAGGAAATCACAATTAGGCGGGTAATTAAAAGCCTAGTTCCTGTTATTATTTTGTTTTTTAAAAACAGTTTCACAATACAATTTTTTAAATTATTTTCAAAACAAAACAAAAAAATTATTTGATTGCCTTAACTTAAAAATAATTTAAAATTTAAGAAATTAGTCAATAATGATTATCACTAGCAGTTAATAGTGATTGTTTATAATAATTATTGGTTAATGTAATTATAATTTTTAATAGCCAAATATAATGCATTTTAAAAACATGAAAAATAAAATAAAAATAACTTTAAAATGTTTCTATTTAAATAAAAAAGAGAATAATTTTAAAAATAATTAGATTCAAAACAGTTATTTAAACAAGTTTTTAATTTTTTTATTTTTAAAAACAAAAAATTGTTTTTAAAAATGAAAATCACACAGGCCTTTCAACTCTTCCCATACGCCTTGTTTTTTTTGTTTTTTGTTTTGAATACATGTATCCAGCTGACATTATTCAATGGATGACGCACAAGCAAATCTAACGTGAAAAGGTCATGTCAGATTTTTAATTTTTCAGGACACTGATTTCCAGCGATATTTAATTTCACTTTTCTCAGACTAAATCCGAGCGAGTGAAAAAGTCGCGTGATTCGTGAAGATTTCACCTTAGAATTAGTAAAGGAATTGGGGAAAAACTTTCCACTAGAGGGAGAAGTAAAGTGGAGCAACAAGCTCCTTGCAAAGGTGACAATCATGGACCTTTCTGTGAGCTTTTGTTGAGGGTATATAATAAAGCATAGGTGGTTCTAGCTTGTCCGGTACTTTTGTGAGTCCTGTTCTCCTATTTTAAGATCGAAACTACATGTTTATTCGAATAATTTTTAAAAGTACATTTAAATTATATCTAAATGTATTTTTATAAAATTTAATAAATAGTTAAATTTTTTAAATATATTTTTAACAAATACAAACTGAAATTCATCCGGATACAAATATGGAGCTTTAACTCCTCCCCTGACCTCTTTTATTTTGTCATTTTACAGTCACGAGTCTCCGGATGAGTTGATGGTTTACCTTTTGTTTTCATCTTGGACATAGATGCACCCATGGGCCGGCGACACGTGATTCCTCCTACGAACTCAGCTCCACTGAAAAATTAAAGAACACAGACAATAAAAAAGAAACCGAAAAAGATAATAACTAACACTTCCGTACATGATATAATAATATTTATCTCTCAAATTAAACGACATGTACCGGCTTAATTTGAGGCATTCATTTGATTTGAAAATTGAATGATCATGTTTTCCAATTTCTTAATCCAATCGAGAAAAGCAAAGACAAAAAGGTCGGGCGGTGAAACTAGTGTCTTCGTCTTCAAGCTTCGAAAGGCGAAAGCTCTCTCTCTCTCTCTCTCTCTCTCTCTCTCTCTCTCTCTCTCTCATATTCTCATGCTGTGGATGGCCATGGCCATGCATGCTAATAACATGCCACATGACTATATACCAGCAACCCCACCACCACCTTTTCAAGCACACACGCAAAGATAAAAGGGCACAACCAAAACGGCCAAAAGCCTCCTCCTCCCGATCCTCACTTTCACCAGCGAAAGCACGGGGCAAGCTCGCATCACAGCTTTTTCTCTCTCTTCGCTCCTCTCCTCCCTATCCTTCGTTGAGACATGAGAGTTCCCTCTTCGTCGTCCCCACAAACCCGCCATTCCTCGAATCCAAAACCCACTGTCTCTAACAACATCACTGCCCGAAACCTGTCCAACGTCAATCCGGGCTCCTGCTACGAACCCACTTCTGTTCTCGACCTCTGCCGGAGCCCCAGTCCCGGTACCGTCCCTGAAAATCCCACCGCTCCCTCGGCCATCACTCAGTCCCTGTCCAAGCCTGAAGACTCTCTGGAGTTGGACGAGCATGCCCTGCATAGTCTGGATTGGGATTCCATCATGAAGGATTGGGGTTTACACGATGACTCTCTTGCTAACGTTCTGAAGAGTACCGGTCCGCAATCAAACCCATGTCAGCCTCAGGTCCCACATCTTCCGGAATTCCCCCATTCTCAGGAGCTCCCTTTCGATCAAGCTCCGGATTTCAGTCTCGCGGATGTTTCCGTAAATCAAAATATGGGTTGTAATTATAATAACTCCTTTGATCATTTGGTTCATGGGTTCAGTCATAACTTTAGTTGGCAAAGCAACGGGTTTGATCTGATCGAGGAGCTTATTCGAGCAGCTGATTGCTTCGACACGAACCAGTTACAGCTCGCCCAGGTGATATTGGAGCGGCTCAATCAACGTCTGCGATCCCCCGTCGGGAAACCCCTCCATAGAGCTGCGTTTTATTTCAAAGACGCTCTTCAATCTCTTCTCTCCGGTTCGAACAGGACCCCACGACTTTCTTCCTTGGTTGAAATCGTTCAAAGCATCAGGACCTCCAAAGCTTTCTCGGAAATTTCTCCAATTCCCATGTTCTCTATCTTCACCACCAACCAAGCACTGCTTGAAGCCCTTCACGGATCATCGCCCTTCATGCACATCATTGACTTCGACATCGGTTTAGGCATTCAATACGCTTCTCTGATGAAAGAGTTTGCCGAGAAGGCGGAGTCCTGTGAAATAAACTCGCCAGTCCTTCGAATCACGGCCGTCGAGACAGAAGAATACGCCGTGGAAAGCAGATTGATCCGGGAGAACCTGAACCAGTTCGCTAAAGATCTCAGGATCCGGGTCCAAATCGAGTTCGCGCTATTCCGGACCTTCGAAACGTCGTTAATGAAGGCCGTCAAGTTCATGGATGGAGAGAAGGCCGCCGTTCTGCTATCCCCGGCTATCTTCCGCCGTCTAGGATCAACAAAAAACATCGCCGCATTTCTGGGGGATATTCGGAGGGTTTCTCCAAGTGTGGTTGTATTCGTAGACGGCGAAGGGTGGGCAGACGCCGCTGCAGCGACGTCGTTTCGTCGGAGTGTTGTGAACAGCCTGGAATTCTACTCGATGATGTTGGAGTCGTTGGACGCGTCGCTTGTGGGAGGAGGCGGGGAATGGATTAGGAGAATAGAGATGCTCCTGCTGCGGCCGAAGATATTGGCAGCGGTGGAAGGCGGGTTCCGGCAAGCCCTGGCGTGGAGGGAACTGTTTTATGGGGCGGGAATGAGGGCAGTGCAGTTAAGCCGGTTCGCGGATTTTCAAGCAGAGTGTTTGCTGGCCAAAGTACCGATCAAAGGCTTCCACGTGGCAAAACGACAAGCAGAATTGGTGCTCTTCTGGAATGAGCGGGCCATAGTTTCCACGTCAGCGTGGAGATGTTAGAATTGTGAAAAAAGGGAGGGAGGGGAATATGAATATTGTGTGTGTGTTGTATTAATATTAATCCCAAAGTTTAGTGTTTGAGGCAAATCAAAAGATAATTGGGCAGCTTACCGGTTATATTATAACAGACAGGAAGGCATATGAGTAGTCGATGCCTCTTCTTTATATAGCAAAGGCAGTGGCGTTTTCTTCACCCATAATTACAAAGCTTGATGCGTTGCGATTGCAACTATGCTTTACATAGAGTCTGCAAGATTTGCCACACAACAGCCAACGAGATACATTATGCTTTAGTAGCGGAGGAGCTCTACTCACTCACTTATTCCTGAATCCTAATTTTTTTTTTTTGGAGCAAATATTCCTGAATCCTCAATTAATAGCTCTCTTTTCAACCTCTTTTTGAATCATCTTCAAGTTTTTTTTTTTTAAAAAAATTGTATATCGGCAATCGACGGTACAATTAGAAAAGGGATGGAGGGATGGTTATACCAATTTTTTAAAATTTAAAAAAGAAAATTGATAATTCAATTCTTATGGGTTTTTTTTTTTTCACCAGAGCAATCCTTATAGTTGGTATGCATTTAACTTGGTCATGCGCAGTTTAACTTTTTTCTCAAACAGTTTCCATTGTTTTATTGGCCATGTGAGTTAGTTCTTCCAGTTTTTCTCTCTCAATATTTTGTATGTTTCTCTTTATCTTTCAGCCTTTATTAAATATTAAAAAATTATTATAAATAATTCCTTTTGTTATTATTAAAAGTAAATATAAAAATGTATTAAATTTTAAAATAGAGTTAACAATATCTAAAATTTTCTTCATTTTTGATAAAATATGTTAAAAGTACTCCCTCTATTTAAAAATATAAGATATTTTTAATCGAATCTCACCTCCCAATAAAATAGTTATCTACTTTCAAACTAACCCTATCTTTCTATATTCACTCCTATTAAACACCTTAAAATAAATATAAAGTCATTATTAATAGAGACATTTTTTAAAAAAATACAATAATTATATTTCGAAAGACTAAAAATACTTTACATTTTTGAATATCCAACTCCTTAAAAAATACTTTACATTTTTTAACAGAGGGAGTAACTTATAAATAAAATTTAAAAAATATTGCCTAACTTAAAGTAAAAAATAATGGTTATATTTGGTTGAAAGAGAAGGGAAATAATTTAATAAAAAAGAGGTGAGAAAATGGAAGAGTATGGAAAAAAATTATTCCAAATCCCTCAAACTTGGAGGAAAGGATTGAGAGGGATGGGATTGGAAAAGTTAATTAAAATTTTCTTTACCCTCCCTTGTATTACTACCAATTTACTTTTTTTTATTATTCAAACAATCCATTCTTTTCAAATGTAATAGTTTGTTATTGTAAACTGTGAGTTTATTTATTGCAGTTATTTGGATGATGGCTTTTCTCCATCAAATAGAAAGATTGCTGCAACTTTAAATTATTAAATTGAATTTGGCAATTGCTAAAAATATCTATTGCAATTTAATTTGAATGATTAATTTATAATTATATAGGAGAGAAGCCAAGTCTCAACTATTATTAATTAACTAACCTTTACTATCTTGTGCGTTGCACGAAGAGCAATACATTATATGAATTTAATCATATTCAATTATAAAATGTTTAATCTAAACTATTCTTAAACAATTACTAAAAAATCAACAAAAGTATCACTTTAATGTGTATTAAAATTGTAACTCTAATAGTCACGTTTTATAAGAATTCTATTTATCGAATTACATATAAAATAAAACATGTTTTCATTGGTTTTAAAAACAAACACGTCATATCAAATTTTTAAACATTTCTCTATAAACAACATTTGTTGTAGTAAATGTCTCATGGGATAAAAAACATCTTCAAGCATTCTTTACTCTTAACCCTCGCTAGTGTACATATAATTGACTATGTGTGAAGATTGGAGTTGGCTTCTCTCCATTTCCTTCCCTCTCCATTTCCTCTTCACTTCCCATATCAACCATTAGATCTATTTTTCAATGGTTCAGATTTGATGTTTTATAAAATTATTATTATATTTATTTTTTATAAAATTTTACATTTTAATAATAATTTTATGAAATATCAAATCTAAACCATTGAAAAATAGATCCAATGGTTGATATGGGAAGTAGAGAGGAAATGGAGAGGGGAGAAAATGGAGAGAAGCCAACTCCGTGAAGATTGACTTTAGCAGATATAATCCAACATTTCACAATGATTGCCCTTGAATTTTATTGATTATCATTGCAAATAAAACAATAATAGAGAATTATCTTTTTTTACATGTGAAAAGGTCATTTACCTTTTGAAGGATTCATGTCCATTTAATAAATTAAAACTTTTTTATTTTACTTTGTACTATTTAAAATTATAGCTTCTATAACATTTCTTTCAATACGAGTAGTATGTAACCTCAAGGATTCAATCAAGACTACTTGAAATTTTATTGTGATTTGGTTATAAGTTATCCAAAATTAGGAGGACCAAAGGTATTAGGTACCAAAAAACAAAACACCACCATCACAACAGGACTATCTTAGAAGAATTTGATAAGTATCAAATTAAAAATTCGTATCAATCACAAGACTACACTATTAGCTTTTCCCGTATTAGATATTGCCATCATAAAATGTCAAAATAAAGACTCCAAAACAAAGGAAAAAATATTTTGTCAGTCCTTGTAATTTTGCCTGATCTTGAAGTAGGTCCTTGTATTTTTTTCCCCCTTTTGATTGAATCCTTAAAATTTTCTCAGTCATAGAGTAGGTGTTAGTCTTATAATATGTTGACTAGGGTTGTTTGCAGACGCTGATTAACTTAAGTGACATGCAAGTTGCCGCAAAATAAAAATAAAAAATAACATGAATTAATGCATGTTTGTCGAGGTAATTTCCTCATACCCATTCTTCCGTTGCTTTCAGATGGTCTTCGCCAAAAAAGAATCCTTGAGGTTATAAGAATCGTTCCTCCTCTATGTTGTAATAAAGATCCGAAGGAAAGTAATAATGGCAATGGAAGTGGCTCTCTACACGTAGCGACGTCACCATCGGCTAAGAAAGGAGTCTAAACATATGGATAGTAATTTCAGTCAATAACCACTAATCATACAACCATCAAGAAACCAATAACAACAATCTAGAAACAGATTGGGGAAATTCAAACACTACAACTGCAATGATTCAGTTCTGATAAATCAAAAATAGATCTTGATAACATCTCCAATTCACCACCGAACTCCAAAACCATAATTGAATGACCTAGAAACAATTGAAACAACATTGAAATCAAAGAATTAAAACATTTGGAGCAAATATTGAACCAAGAAACCATTGCAGGATATGGTGGAAGATTCATCCAACCAAACATCGCCGCCACTTGGGGGAATTGTTGTTGCTACTACTTTGAAGGAATCGTTCCTCCTAGCACACGAAATATCATGAATCCCAAGTTTTGCTAGAATTGCCTTGCACATAAAGCTGATTTGATGTTGGCTTTCTTTATCTCCTTGCATCTATAATTTACAATATTAGTTTTAAATTTATTGAGTTTTTTTAATCCATATGGCAAAACTAATCCCAGTGCATATTAATTTAAAACCATGTCATCAGCCACTAACGCGGTTTGTCTTGCAAATTAACAGAATATGTATGACCGATGCTTATAATAAAAGAAATTGCAAGGATCGGATAAAACGAGTGAAGAAAAAGGCAAAACACTATTTTTTGTCTTTGAACTTTACTTAAATTTTAATATAGGTCCATACACTTTATTTTTTATGTTGAGGTCCATACATTTTTCACTGTCTGCAATATTAGTTTTTTTATTTTTAAAAGGATGTTAAAGTGACACAAATATTGTTAATAATCCTAAAATATCAATTAACACCATTAATTTTATACTTATATGTCAAACTGATGCTAATATAAAAATTTTAATAAGAATTTTTTTTAAAAAAAAGCCTACATGAAATTTATGCATTTTTCTAATCATTTAAAAAGTTTAAGTCAATCTTTTTATTTCATTTGATGTAAAAAATTTTAAATTTTTATTTATTAAAAAAATTCTATATCAATATTAATTGGACATATAAGCATAAAATTAATAATATTATTTAATATGTTAGTGTTATTAATATCGTTTGAATCATATTAATGTTCCTCTAAAAATATAAAGACAAATATTGCAATTGAAGAAAAATGTAAAGATTTAAAATATTTAAAATAAAGTAAAGGAACTTATATTAAATTTAAGTAGAGTGCAGGAATAAAAAATAATTATTTTTAAAAAATTTATAAAAACTTAATTAAAAATGAGCTAAAATTATAGAGTTCTGTTACTTTTTCCCAAAACAAATGGCCTTGGCAACGAAACTGCGTCACCGGGACTCCAAAAGCCTTTTGTCGTCTTTGGTAACTCGAGGATTTTGGACGCCATAACCCGGAAACACTGCAGCCGATTGTACCTTGTGCGCTTTGGAGGGGAATGGTGTCGTTGGAATGGCTCTTCTAGGATCAAACCTATCAGGAGAGGTCGGGATCGATCTGCTTCTCTTATGTATTCTAGCATTTTTCTTCAGCTAGAGTTTTGACATATATGTACTTTCTTTCTTTCTTTCTTTAATTTAGCATATACTTCTTCAATCAAAGTAGCCTAATTCTCCATTTATATCCATTTGATGCTAGTGCTCACAAGACGGATCATCGGATGGTAATTTGTCCTTCACATTTTTAGTATAGATTTCGGGGTTCTAATTGAAGTAATAAACTAAAGCGATTGCTTCTTAACTTCTAAAATTCGAAAGGTATGATTGTCTCAGCGTAGCGAACTACGTGTCTTTCCCGTAATAACTATTATTAGTTGAAGGGGCTCTGAGTTCTGGAGAAATTATTGTAATTATGGACAATTCCTTGGTATCAGGACTCCCCCTCCCTCTCCCCCCTTCCCAACTATTTTATCCGGCTGGGATCGATGTTTTTTGTTACTTGGTCGCTCAGATTGATGTCTGGATTTGGTGCAGGTTGGACTGCGGTTGCTTCTTTGTCCTATTGGTTCTAACATTGTGATTCGAACGGCATGGTGAGCCACTAATTAATGCTTGCTCGCATTCTGGGGTTGGAAATATATTTCTCTCATAATTAAGAAGCCACACACACACTCTTAAATTCATGTGGACATATTTTTATTTGAAGATCGCTATTGATTTGAAGATTCTTTGATGAGCTCTAGGAGCCGATTCTGTTGAATGTTAAATTGCCACTTTAGCTTATAGCATTATATTTGTGCAGCTGTTCTGTAGGCGTTGCTTTACCTGTGTATTCTACATTCAAGGCAATAGAAAGAAAAGATCAAAATGCTCAACATAGATGTCTTGTCTACTGGGCAGGTAGAAATTACCTAGCTTTTCATTTCTTCTTGGATTGTGTTTCTGATTCATTTGTTACAGTCAAATATTATTTCCATCAAGAATATTTGCCACGATTAAGAGAATTTTATCCCCCCTCCCCATTATTATTTATCCTCGTGTGTTTCTGACTACATGCGATTGGACTTACTATCAAAACACACTTGTTTTTAAGAATCTTCAGTGCTTTATGACATCTGCTGAGAATGAAGTAACCAAATATGAATCCATATCATATTAAGTCCTTCAAGTTGCAACAGCAAAGCTATTTGCATTTCTTTGTCCGAACCCTTTTATGGACTCTATTATATTAATATTTTTCTACCTGGCTGTTTTATGTTTCACTTTTATCACTTGCAGCTTATGGATCCTTCAGCCTCATTGAAGTTTTCTCAGATAAGCTTATTTCATGGTATGGTCTGCCCCCCTCCTGATCCTTTAAGTTATGTGTATAGGGTGCTGTCTCTTTGCATGTAGTTTCACCATCACTGGTCCTGATGGAGTCTTTTTATGACTGGTGACATGTTTTTCATGTCTTGCCAATGAACTTGATAATTTTCAATTTTTGTTGTTTAATGTGCAGGTGCCCTATGTATTATCACCTGAAGTTTGCATTTCTGGTCTGGCTTCAACTTCCATCTACTGATGTGAGTTCAACGTAGGATTATAATGAATTTTAGACAGTAAAAAAGTCCTTGAATCTTTAACAAAATCGAGTTATTTCCTGCAGACTTCTATTGTGGCCTCCCCACCTGTCATTTATACTTCCGATGTTTCCCCTTTTCCTTCATTCAATGGTTCTGTCGTAGTTTTAACTTGCCAGAAGTCCTGCAAGTGTCTGATAAGCATCTTGGTTTCTTGGAAAAAATACAAAATTTCATCAGTTTCTATTGCATGATAGGCATTTATTTTTAATGTGACTGAGAATATTATACAACTCAGGCCAAGATGCAGAAAACCTCTTCTAACTTAGGGTCATCTGCAACTGAACCCCCTGAACTCAAAAAATTGAATTTCCTGAACATTCTCCACTAAATATCCATCGAAAACTCCGAACTTTTTCCTTCCTTTTTTCTTGGCTGACCTAGCTTTTTCCTTCCACTTGGACTGAGAAGATGCCAGGTGCCCAAGTTAGGAATTTGGTGATTTGCCATTTGAAACTGACTTGGTATAATAAAAATCTACCTAGGAGGGAGAAGTTAAGGTTTTGGATGGATATTAAATGAAGGAGCTGCGTGCATAAAATTGGAAGCTGGGGCTTGACGAACTACTACATAAATGGAGTACATCACCCTCAATTCTCGGTGAATTTTTTGCATTTTGCCTTGTAATTAAATTAATATTCTGATAAGTAGTGCTATTGAGAAAAAAAAAGTGCGTCTTTAGTTCTGCAGAATTGGACATTTATCTAATGCAACTCTTCAACGGCGTACTTCCCCCTGGCCCTTAAGTAAAGGGCTTTTCCAAATGACTTTCAGGGCCCACAAGCAAAATAATAACCTTTTTGTCAATATGAAGACCAATTGGTGGTATTTTGGAGGGATCCATCTTCTAAATGTAGGCTGATTCATTAAGGAGACAAATTCTTGACTTCGCCTCAGCCTTTGATGTGAATATGATGCGAGGCAGAGTTAGAGTAGGTAATAACTAACTTCGCCAAGGGATTAGGAAAAGCATGTAAATGCAGCTATACAGTGGCGGGAATGGCTTTTGTTGGCAGCTATTTAATGTCAGTTCATTCTTTATTCTACTCTCCTCATTTCTCTCATAACAGCCTTCCGGTAATCGATCTTTGTTCTTCCAGTTTGCAGCCTACATTGTCCCCTGTTTTACATGCATGTGGCTGATAATTTGTCTCTTCTATAGATCGGTTCTGTTTTCATATTTTACCATTACTTGCTTTCAAACAGGGAGCAAAACAGATATACGTGAACCACCTTCGTCCATTTTTCTTGAAGCATCAAGCTAAAACTGATCAAATTTTGGGCCTCGCATACAGTGAAGTGGTATGTCCCCACATTCTGCTGCAATTTAGACAACTGGATTTTTAATGCTGTGATAAAGCGGTTTGACTGTAAGGGTCAACCTTGGAGATTGCCTATATTGTAAATTTTTTAAAAATGTTGATCCTCGGCACTGAGCATTATCCCGGCACTCTCCCGTCAAGTTGTGTCCATTCTTTGCCTTTATGCATCAGTCAATCGTTAATGGAGTTTAAGTTGTCAAACTTGCAGGTCAAACTAGTAAGTTCACACCAAACAGAAATCCAGTTTGTCAGGAGCATGGTAGTGAAGATAACTGGAACTAGATCAGGTGAAGCAGCATGTAATGGTCTTCTTTGTTAGTTTTCCCCCCTAATTAAAGTATTCGCTTGTGAAGTAAATTTCCTAATGTATAGCCCCAGGCCATAGGATAAGGGACGCTGGTGAATCAGATAGATCCCAGCAACGAAGTCCAGCAGAAGAACCAGTTAATTCATCGGATTCTGAGCTTGATCAGAGTACTGCTGATCAACCAGAGAGGCACATCGCATGATCAGAGAAGCACATTACCCATGAGAGAGATTAGTCTTTTACGCTAGCCTGCTTGAATTAAAATACAATTTACTGTTGCCAGCCAGCCTCAAGGATGACGTTGTACAGCTGGCTCCTTTGTTTAATGAACAATGGCGATGCTGTAAGTGTAAGAGTCCAACTGCAAGATTCATAATTATCTGTTTGCGAAACTCCCGGTGCTTTCTACTATTTTGTTGAGATTATGATTTAAATTTTTATATTCTTTTGTGATTATTTTTATTTATTATCGTAGCTTCTATTATATTTATAGTTGAGATTTTAGGAAATATTATTTATTACCAAGCTTACAGTTTTAGTTTTTTGTTCATAGTCTCTTCATTTTTATAGGAATGAGATGATTATCACGTGATTCTTTTTCATTCATGGGTTTTCTATTCTTTACGTTGGTAGGTTTTTTCACGCCAAATTTCATGTCATTTATTATTTCCTATTAATTTTTAATAGTTTCACTTGTACTTCAAACAAGTATCACATGACATTTTTTTAAATATATTTAATTAGAAAATTCAAGAAGCTTATAATTGCTTAATTAGTGTCTTGATCATGAAAATTAGGCGCTTACCTTAACTGAGAACTAACGGTTCTGTTGGCGAGGTAGTGTTAAAAACATGGAGCTGTTATAATACTAAAAGTAATTCCACTTCAACGTGAACCAATAGCGGAAAACGAAAGACTCCAAGGGAACATAATGATTACGGACTTATCTCTCAGGAGGCTCATACAAGATAACTGAAGCCGGGCTCTTTGGCATCAGTGATGTATATGGTGCTCCATTAGCCTAACGTTACCTACTCTTCCGCAGCCGAAAATATTACAACATATGACGAGTAAATCATCAGGGGAATTATAATTGAGGGTTAATCACATAAATTAGCGAGACAAAAAAATATCTATATATATAGAGGGAGAGGGAGAGGGAGAGACGAGGCCATCCATACATTCCCAGCTGCAAATTTGTTTTACCGAGGGGAGTGTCAGATTTAGCTGTAGCGTGCGTGTCTATCCAAGTCAAGCAACTGCATCAGGTCCACACAGCCGTTCCAACTCTTCCTGTTGAAAACATTTGTTTATTACTTAAAAGTCAAGTTTAATTGTGTCACAAGCCCATATATTTTGGCGGGAATTAAAGCAATGGAAATGAAATTGTACTATGCCAGAGATGATGCACTGGAACTGGAAATGTGTCGGAAAGCAGAACTGTCTAGGTGTTTCAAAATTACCTTGATAGAATTATTCTCGGATGTGAGATTCTCACATTCTTCAGACAGCCTCTGGAGCTCCTCTCTTAGAGTTCGATTCTCATTTCCTAGTGTCTCCACTCTCTTCTGTAACTCTTCACATTCAGCCTAGTCAAACAGGAAAGCAAAAGACATCAATTCAACATTTGAACAAAGTCTGAAGAGGCCGCTTTGAATAAAGGCGAATAGAACATGTTGCCAAAGAAAAACTGAATAAAACAGCTTAACGACAGCTATAGTCATAGACAGTTTAGTTTCTCTTCAACATAGGAGCACGAAGTAGAGTATAGAAAGAACCTGCTTCCGCAGTCTTGACCTCCTAGCTGACTCTCTATTAGACTGCTTCCTCTTCTGTCTTTTCAGTTCACGTTCATCCTACCAAATCATCAAGAAGCTCCATTAATAGGACCGGGTGAAACGATAGGAGGTGGATGTTTTAATATATATATATATATATATATATATCCACAAGACTCCCATGTAGATGCAAGAAAATTAAAATTAGACAGAACCATTTATGGCTCGCTCAGGTGAGAGTGGAATGAGGTGTCAATAGTAGTACTCAAGATTCATAACCTCTTGACATTAAAAAAAAAAAAAGCTAAAATATAATATAACTAGCTCAAAAAAAGGGGGAAAAATGAGTTGAGAATAGTAGGTCTGTATATATTCTCAAAATAGAAGGGAGGTTCATGTAATTCGATTATTTGAACAACATTTAAAAGAAATCTACCTAATTTGCTAAAAAAAATCAACTACAAGACTCATACTTGTATCCACTGTTCACCAAGGGCAACTTCCCTTCCCATCATGGTCGAAGGAGCAACAGCCGCGGAGACACCAGATTGATTATGTCTCATTTTCACAGCATCCGAACCAGCAGCAGCTGGACTCCACAAGTCCATTCCAATGTTCAGATTAGTTGCTGGAATTGAGCCAGCTGGCTTCTGAGAAATGGCGCCACCAGAACTGTTCTGTGCATTTGCCCCTAAGAAAGTTTGCAAAGAATATACAAATTAAATATTTTCTGATGTATAAAAAAAGAATATACAAATTATAATTCAGAACATATGTAAAAGGAAAATGATTGCGAACAAAGACACACCATACCATCAACAAGCATCTGGTCAAAGCTTCCCTTTTTGTTAGTAGTTGAATCCTTCACATGGATACAATTAATTAGACAAAAATGCAAGTGACACATGGAGCTAAATATAAAAATTAAAGTAGGCAACATAGACTTCAGGAAATTTCTTATTTACTGAAACCAAGTGAACCAAGCACAAATAATGACGCTCAGTTGTCATCTACCTGTTGGTTAGTATTCTCATCACTTGCATCCGATGAACCCTCTGAACCACTTTCAACACTGTCAAAGAATTTCTCTTTATTAAAAAATCCATTTGAGGAAACAAATTCAGAGCAAAATTAACCGCTAGCTTGCCTCACCTTTGCGAGACACCATCGTTCCCGGATCCTGAGCCTACCTTTCCACTCTCTCCAGCTTTGGAAGCAGTGCTAGCACAAGTTCCCTTCAATTTTTTGGCAGAATTACAATCTTTTCCATCAGATCCCTTACCTTCAAGTTCCACAATTTGCTGTGCGGAGCTTGGAGTCTACCAAAATATTCGAGCACACGTGTGCATGAGACACAGAGAGAGAGAGAGAGAGAGAGAGAATAAGAATCAAACTATGATAAAGCAAGCAAAGTTGCTTTCCACAAATGGGATTCATCTTGTACAAGTAAATACTACAAAATAATAATAATAATAATAATAAATGTATTCCTGCCAGGGGAGGACAGGTGCAGGGATAGGAGAGTTAGTGAATTACCGTGGCCATACCAGGATGAGCATAAACACCACCTGGAGGATACATAGGAGGGTACGGAACCGGTGTCCCATACGGCGGAATTAGAGGATGCTGAAAAGATAAACAGATCTGTAAATAACAGCCTTTTCTGCCATCAATTGAGTATGCAAAGAACCCTATGTACATACGACATTACCTGGCTCCCCCATAGATAGGGGTGAGGAGTTGGTGAAGCAACCGTTGAGGCAAAAAAAGGAGGTGGGGTGGCTCCAGGAGCATAATAAGCCTAAATAAAAAGCCGAAGTGTTAGTTAACTTTATTTACTTGCAGGAAACTTTTCATGAATATAAAACCAAAGTGAATAAATTCATCTATGTTCCACTCACCTGCATAGAGCCAGACCAATCAGGGTACGAAGGTGGTGTTGCTATCTCCTGTTAATGTAAAAAGAAATGATGAGAGATAGGAAGGATCAATAGAAGTAAAATGTGAAGGACAACAGAAGGAAAAGAACCTGAGTTGTAGAAGCTTGTTTGGATGGTTTAGGTGTGCTCTCTTCCCCTGTCCCCATCCAGAACAGTTCAGACAAACTGTCCTTTCAATAAAATCAACTGAAAAGCCTCCTGGTGATATCAAATGCTTATATCCATGGAAATCATAAGATCACCTTGAACAAGCACACATATCAGTAAACAAGCAGTATGATTTGAAATATACATACATATATATATATATATATATATATATATCAAATCACAGGCATATAATATCACTAAGGTTAGTCAAACTCTCAAATCAAACATATAGGTAAATATATGTAAATGAGTTTAAAATATAGATTTGAGTGATATTTCATCCAAAGAAATAAGTGATTAAGACTTCTTAAAGTCAAAGAAATTGACATTGTTAAAAAAGAAGCCCATCCCTTGAAGGGATTTGAATTTATTATCTGTTATCCAACCCAAAGGATGAGAAAACATTGATGATAGCCTTCAATAAAAATCATCAGTGCAGCCCCAAAACATCAACATGTACTAAGCGACTTAACTGGAATGCAAATAACTAGATGTCTTTATTTTTGGCATTAAAGTGTAAGTCAAAATAATTATCTGACAAACTAGAGAAGATGATGTTCAGCTGTAATTAAACTTTTCAAGAAAATGAGTACAATGAACAAATAGCCAAAAAGTAATATTTAAACGATACGACCCTTGTCTTAACTGAATATTATTAAGCTGAAAGATCATTTTGCAAGACTAGCAGCAAAGTTCCATGATTTTGAGGAAATTAAAAAATGACTTACTTATTTCTCTTCTATATTGAGCCTCGCTTGTATTTGTCATTACCTTTATGGATGATCATTCATTATTTTAAAGGACAAGAAATGATAAAGTCACCAATTAGCCAAATCCTAACATGCTAAGTGTAATATGTTAAAGACTATCTTAGTCTGATTAACGAAAAGAAAGGAAAGGATCCTAAGTTAATAAAACGTATCCTCTCCTCCATCAGAAAATGAAGGCAACAATTAAAGGAAAGCAAATACTCCCTCCGTTTTTATATATAGGAGAAAAAAACTACATCACACAATTTAAAAAAGTTAATTAACTATAACAATTAAATCTGAAAATAAAAAATTTGGACTAAAATGCCTGTGTTAATCAACATAAACATACAGTAATTGCTTCTTGTTAAAATAAATTATGAGGGATGATTTTGAAAATGTATAATAAATGCTTATTGGAATAATTGATTTTCCTTATAAAAAAATACAAGTCAAAAGTGGTGCTTTCTCTAACAATAAAAGACAGAGGGAGTATGCTATAATTTCCTCCTCATATCAGGACGGTGACTTCAGTTGGAGGGAAACCCATTTTGAATGGTACATGAGGGAGCAGAGACAAGGAGAGCAATATTCCATTACACTAATCTCTGGAATGCGTATGCCTATACAGATCTCCATGTATATGTGAAATTCAGTTTTCAGTAGATAATCTTATACTTTAGAGAGCATGTATGGTTACAATTGACATTCCTCAAGACCACATATGCTCAAAGTCGAGTTTATGAGGCTTGCTCTAAACTAATGCGTTGGCGATAAGGTTTATTGTCAAAGCACAGTATCTGTCTTGACAATATAAGATAGTAAACATGAATCATTAAAACATTTTTTTTTTTGGCACTCATTACCTACGAGTGTATGCGTATATGAGATCAAGCCCAAGGCTGTGGTATAATGATGGGTTCAAGATCTCAAGTTCAATAGTCCTAGTCACCATATATCAAAGTAATAAAGGCACGCATGTGAAATTGCTAGGATAAGATTTAGAACAGGATGGGGATGTAAGTTCTAATAGAGACATTTCAAGCCTACCTTCGCAGATTTAGTCCAGTTGTCCTTATATAAAAACCTACCACAGCTTTCTTGTTAAAGCAATTATGAATATTTCATTTTAATCCATGCATGTAAAACATCAAAAAACTATATTTTATCCCTGTTTATCTTCTCCACGACATGTCAAACAACCGTGCCGCTGATGATGAGAACGTGCTTTTTTTTTTTTTTATTGCTCATATGTATCCCATTGAAGGCACGGGGGGCACTAAATGTAGACACCTATTTCAACGGGGATCCCAACCTTAGGAACTAGCCTCTTACATTATACCTAACCCCATTGGTTGATGAGAGAGCCCCTTCTTGTCCACTAGATGGTTTAAGAATATGTTTCGCGACATTTTTGATCCATTTTACTTTGAATTCAGACAATCAAATCCGATATGATATTGATACGGTACCGCACATGACAAAGATCACCTTAGCTTATCGACAATTTGAACCTAGGTTGGTAACACGGTGCATATCATGCCAGGAATTGAGTAGAAAATCGCAGCAAACATAAGGACTAGCAAACCCCTGCCTCCCTCTTTCACTCGCTTAGTCTTTTGTTCATGAGAATACAGGAGAGACACACACAAAAACGCTTTCCAACGGAAGCAATACTTCCTCATGAATTGCAATCGGATTCTATTGAGATATCAATCACTGACCGTTTTTCCTACGGAATTTATTAACAAAAAAGACGTAGTCAAAATCAACCCCCAAAAAAGAACAAATTAAGGAAAAGGAACCGGAAATTCAACGATTCATCAGATGATGAATGAATTTATTCAAATTTTAAATTATGTGAGAAGCAAATAACGAGGGAGGGGAGAATCAGACGATCATAAAGCATTCTAATTCTAGTTGTACCCAAAGTCAGTCGAAGTTTGACAAGAGAGACGTAAAAGGAAAAGGAAAGAGAAGTAATTGAGCAGAGTAGAGGAGAGGGGGAAGCAGCGCTGTTGCACAGACATGGAAAGCAAATTACAGAAAAGATGAGGAAGGAAAGAAAGACTGACCAGTTTAGAGGGATGAGGTGGAAGTCCAAGTGGGACGGAGGAGGGTGGGTTTGATGAAGTGGTGTAATAGTAGGCTCCGTAAGAGCGGCTTCTTGTCGCCTTGTTTCAGGAAATATAATTAAAATGGCATTGGCGGAAAGAGAGGAATCGACGGCCGAGGATAAGAGGCAAGACAAAGGAAGGTGAGGGTGGGAAGCACGCAGACAAAAAAGCAATACCAGCAGCGACCATGGAAGGCGAGAGAGAGAGAGAGAGAGAGAGATGGGCGTGTCTGCTTGTGGAGGTTGCGATGTGGGGGATGAGGGAGGAGGGGAGAGAGGAAGTGGGTTGGGAAGGGGGGATCGGGTGTGGTGGTGTCCTGCGGGAGTCTGCTGCTTTTAGGGCTTCGGCCACGACACGTGCCGCCTTCCTCATTACAGCTGTCCTTGTCTCACTGGATTAGGTTCTTTATTACTCCTCCTCTCAGCATTTTGCCCTTCCGGATAACCTTAACTATTCTTATTCTATTTTATTTTTATGATTAATTAATTAATAATTAGATAGATAGATGGGATTAGATTACCATTTCGGCACTCCCTTTCTTTGTCTCCTCCACCTCACCTCCACGTTCCCGTCAATGTCATCCTCAAACCGCTATTGCTCCCACCTTCAAATCCCAACCCTCCACTTTAATTTTCCGAGTATATCATAATTAAATGATGTGGTCTATTTGTAAACTTTTATTTTTAAATTATTTTTCATAAGTTTTATCAGAATAAAAAAACTTTAAAATTTAGTAATTCTATTTTAAATTTAAAAAATTAAAAAAAAATTCAACTCTACTTTCGTTAAATATACATATTTTAATAATATAATTTCTCTCTCTATAACATTTAATAGAAGGTGAAGGAGATAATTTGTGATTAAAAATTTAATAATATAATTTATATATAAGACAAAAGAAAATCTTCTTTCTTTATCTTGTAAATGGATTCAAAAGGAGCATGTCAAAATCTATAAGAAATATGATATTTCCAAGCACTTATTATATATTAATTATTCATCATATGAATGTCACGTATAATTTTATCTTTTCGTAATATTCTTTTTCGTGAAAAATATGCAATTATTTTTAAAAAAATCAATTTCACTTTAAACTGACGTGGAATGGCTAACATCAAAACAAAAAGCTGCAAGTTTTATTGGATGAATCTGCAATCTTGAATTTTCAATCACAAATAGTTTCAGATGAACCTTGGGCATGATTGGAGATCCACAACGCTGGAATCATGTTTTGTGAGTTTTCGACGCGGCGGGCGTGCCTAAATGGATGAATCAGGGAGGAAAAAAAAGTCAAGGTTTGTGTGTTTTGGGTTGGTGGGGTAGGGGAGATGTGAAATGCGAAAGGCAGAGGAGAGAGGACCCACAGCTCGTGATTATCATTGATTGGGCTGTTTCATGGGTTTGGAAATCCCACAGTGCTGACAGTTAGTTGGGTTTGTGATGATATAGATGGGCCGAGAAGGGCAGCATCCGGAAACAACCCCTTTCACCCATGATTCTTTTTTTGGGCCTGAGTTTCATTGATCATTCATTTTCCAGATGCCCGTAGCGCTACACTGTACTATGAAGCTGTGGGAGATCACAGAGTCGTGTCTGCCCTGGATTTTCTTGCTTCGAGTTCATTGTCAAGGCTTTTTGCATCTTTTGACGTTTTATTATATTTTCATTTCTTTCTTATTAGTATGTCATGAACTAACCTTGTATACGGGCTGTAAATATGAAGCAGTGTCCAAATATGAGCCTAAGGTTTAACTATTGGGTCATAGGTTACATAAAGAGAGACTTAGAGGGTTAAGGTGGAGGTGGAGAAGAATTTTGGTCGTCACTTTCTCCCTGTTCAACTTCTTTTCTATTGTGTTCTCTTCCTGCTATATTTGCACTACTATTCTTATTTCTTTATGTTAATTTCCTTCCATCTTCTTAGTATCTGCACTACAATTTGTTATGTTTATTAGCTATTATAACTACATAGGAGTAATTGTACAAATGATGTTTGTGAAATTTTCATGACCCATGTTTTACAATGTGCATGGTTAAGTAGTTTTGAAACATTTGATAATTGATGATTTGCAAACGAAATGAATATATGTATATATTTACGGTGATTTGCGAGAAAGTGGTGGCATATACATGTGAAAGGCATGATCATAGGGGGGTGAGAATTCACCTTGGGTATATGTGAATGTGTGTATGTAGAGATGTGAGTGAATAAATTCATATAATCAGGCTGACACCATGGGACATCCGGTGCAACAAATTATATTAGGCTGAAACCATAGAACATCTAATGCAACAATGTTTTAAGATTGTTACCATGGGACATTCAGACAGTCTAGTAACTCCCTAGTGCTTGTGAGGGTGCAATTAGGATTCAACGACACCCTTATCACAAGTGTGTGTGTATGAAGGAGGAAACTATAGTCTAGAAGTGGGATAGAATACCTTTAGCCAGGTGTTTTTACCATTAAAGGTGTGCTTAGGTTAATATGCAATTGATCCATTAGAACCTATAGTTTCAAGCTGAGGAGCTTTAGAGGATTAGTGAATAGTTGATCATGCCAGTGTTTATGAATATGGAAAAGTATTTAGAAAAGGGTATATTATATCTATATAGCTCTTAAACTATTATTTTAGTTTTGTTTACTTATATGTGGTAATTTGTGTTAATGAGCATTTAATGGTTTATTTTGATTATTGAGATTTTAATTTCACCCATAGTTATTTACATTTTTACAGGTTTTAACATTAGTGGTGCCAAAAAGAAAGATATGGCCAGGACTAGAGGGTACCTCTCTCTAATTGCCAATTGTAAGAAATTGGTATAAAAAACTTGTGTTATAAAAGTTGTGTATTTATATATAAGTTAACATAAGAGTATATAATTGTGCATAAGCATTTTACTTGCGAATGTAAGCATGATTTTGTATCCAACTCTATCGTGCGTGTGCGTGTTTGAAGTGAAAGTGACAATACAAGCTAGGAATTGATTACAAGTACATGTGGATAGAATGACGTGTGATAAATGAGAAAATTTGGTCATTAACATAGTTTTAAATGAAATGATACAGTTATGCCCAAATGTGTGTAAAATGGGCAGTTTATTGGCCAAACTTGGATATATGTGTGCTAATGTGTATGTGAATAGTCAATTAAGTGTAAATTGTCTCATTAGATGTAGTCATGGCCTTAGAAGTAGCCAATGACTTATGGTTTTCAATTATGATGCTCAAATGAAAGATTTTAACTTAAAATTTATCAAAACGCACTTGGGTATCTAACTTTTAAATGGAATATTAAAATTAAATGAAACCAATGTCATTGGTTAGTTTTGAACAAGCTTTGTGTGAACATTTAAATAACCCAAATTGGATATTGAATATGAAAACGATGCATGCCCAAAATTCACATCAGAACTATTGTTTTAACAATAGAGTTTGATGTATGTGTCACAACACATGGTACAAAGCCAGCGGTAGTGCTTCTATGCCACATACGTGGCATAAATGTCACATACTGGGTGCATGGCTCATATTTTGCCCAAATTGTGTTGTTTGAAATTAGCTTTCCTTGAGGTTTTCATACACATGATTTTAGTGCTTCCACTGTGTACTACTTCACAACTTGAACATTTTAGAAATAGTTTTCAAATGTTTTGATTTGGAATCCCAACCTTTCTTAAATCAGTTTTATTTGTCAATTAGTTCGTGTGATTGAGTTTGAATTGTAATGTTAGAGAGGGTATTACAACCCCTAACTCAATTCCTTTATAATTTTAAATTCTTTTTAAATTTTTATTATTTCAAATTTCAATGGAAGCTTCTCTATTCCTTCACCTTCGTTCCTTGATTTCGCCACCTTTTTGACTTTAATATTAGTGTCTCCAACCAACATCCACTGAGATCGAACCGTTGGAGCCAAATGGGACCAAATCACTAGCTGTGATAAGGAACCAAACGGCCGACTTTAACTAAGACCTGACTATCAGTGATGATTGTAACCAGACCACTTGTGACAACCACAACCAGATCTTCAGCTGTGACAAAGACCAGACAACCAAAGCCGACCTTGACCAAACAGTAGGTGTTAATCAAGTCCACCCCTCTAGTTTGCCATTGTCGTGTCATTCAATACCGGTCTAATATTGTCATCCGGTGTTTGTCTACCACCACTATCCGATGTTGATCCATTGCATCCAACTTGTGTTAATTTGCCATCATCGCCAACACCATTAACAAGGAATGTTTTGTATCATTATCCAAGTCTAATCCACAACCCTCATACTGTTATAATTGTCCCATGCTAATCCTTAGGCATTATTTGGGATCAGATTGTCGATGTCGATCGAAATTTGATTACCACCACTCATCGAGACTAGACCACTAACATCATCTGGGTTTGGATGGCCGGAGTTGACCAAGATCGGGTTGCCACCCTTAATCTAGGTTAGACCACCAATTTTGACTAAGACTAGGGGTGAGCATTAGTTTGGTTCAGTTGATTCCATTCCAATTTCTCCAAAATGGGTTAATCGAATTACACAAAAAATTTGGATCGAATCAAAATACTTGATCAGATCAAATTATAATTATTCAATTCGATTGGTCTATTCAGTTCATAAGCTTTGCTTTAGGTTTATGGAGTCTAATTGTGCATATATTCTTTTATCCATTTGTTTCCTTGATGTTGAAGGCCTAACAAAAAATAATAATCTTATACTAAAATTCATGAAAAAATAAAAAACCCAGTACTATTGCATTAAAAATTAAATTATAGAAATAAAAAAAACAAAGCATCACATTAAATAAAAAATACTACTACTACAAGTGTAAATGGTAGAAAGATGTCTCTTACTCACCTAGATAAGAATTTATGCACCTTTTTAAAAATATGAAAAGAAAACTATATATAATTTGATCAGTTTAGTTTATTTGGTTCAAAAACTCCTAGACCGAATTAAATTGATCAATCAAAATTTTTAATAAAAGAAAATCAAATAGAATCGTATAACCAAATAGACTAAATTTGATTCGACTTAATTCGATCTTTGATTTCGGTTCGATTTTACTCACCCCTAACTAGGACCAGACTGCTGACATAGTGTGAGTTGCTTTTAAATTCAAATAAAGAATTTAAAATTTAAAATTTTGTTTAAGATCCAAATAAAGTGTTATAATATTATAATTTAAAATTTTTTATATCATCCAAGAAAAGAATTTATAATCTGTAAACTTTAAATGTGAAATTTTAAATTTATATTCTCAACCTAAATTCACCCATTCAAGTGCAACCTAGAGTTTAGATTGTTTCAAATTCAATTAACCTTCAAATAATTTCAATAAGTAATTAAAAGTTGAGATAGTTGCACGGGGACTTCGTTTAGTCTTCAATAACCCTGGCCCTTGCTTTTTCCTTGTCACACGCTTCCATTAATAATCAATAATTAGGCATTATATTGTGTATTCCTTCGGAGTTTAAACTTCTATTGTCCTTCACTGCTTCTGTTTGTTCATTTGGTTTTGCGAATTCAACAATAACAACTCTCACGATTTAATTTCCTTCACCGATCAAGTAGGACCCCAAAGCGCAAAGAATCGCCACACCACACTAATTTGTTCTCCTTGATAGTACTTAATTACATGGACAATAATGCATACGTGGCAGCGGTAAAGGTGGTTTGATTTTCAAGTTTTTCCCCCTTCGTCTCCAAAAAAACAATTAAGGAGACAAAACAGGTCGTCTGAAAACAAACGAATAGAGGATATATCAATCGAGTTAAACGCGATTCAACTTTTGAACATGGCTCCTTCTTATTCCTGTATATATTCAGCTCACAGATACTCGAGCACGTATGCGAATCAATAATTACACTTGTAAATCATTCAAACCCGATTTCAATGCAGGAATCAAACACTGGGAGAATACAATCACGTGCTGCCTTCTCCTACAGTTGTATCCATTAATTCCAACTTGCATGATTATTTCTGATCAGAACTCGAGATTCCATGCCTCGCGTCTTCATATTTAAAAAATGCTAATAAGATGAGGATGAATTGGTACTGGACAAAGATTTAATTAATCTTGTAGCGTCCCACATACCCAATGTGCATTCATATTAAAAGAAAAGAATATCAGGACACATTTCACCACAAAAAGATCGTCTCATCACAGCACAGGAACGAAACCCCCATCATCTGAGTATTGTAGACTAAAAGTGAAGGCTGAAGGGAAGAGGCAAATCACCCAAAAATCAGATTCGTTTTCAACCCAAGAAAGGGTAAGCCATGGAATGACTAATGAGTATCGTGATGAGTGCCAAGAAAATAGGCAGAGCATAGCTAATGCGCATAAACTATATGTTGATGTTCAGTGTGTGTGAAATAAAAGTCTCACGTTGTTCAAAACAAAAATTAAGATGAACACTTGAATAAGCAAATGAACCATGAAGAGGAGTGGATATGCACGTATATACTACGCTAAAGATAAAGAGAGGTTGAATTGTACAAGCATAAAATGAAACTCTTCTATGCTCATAATTTTATCCCATCACAAAACTGGAATTTTGGACCTTATTGAAGGAGCAGATGCCAATCCAGTTGTAGATTTTTATTTAATCATTTTTGAGCCAGATGATTTTTTTTGGGTCAAGTTTTGTTACCATTATAATAAGTGTTAAGCTGTGAATCTACTCCTGAACTTTTTCGCAAGACACAATTGGTATCATAAAGTTTTAAAAAGTATAATGTTCCCCCTATACTTTCAAAGGCAGTACAATGTCATCCAATTTTAATTGATTTAAACATTTGATATTTGTTGACTTCATTGAGCTTAGGTGGTCTGTCCACATGTCACCTACCTTACTTTGGCAAGCCATGTGGCGTGAATTAATAATTAAAAAAAAAAACAGATCCATTCCACTTCTATTTCTCGTGTCTTCCTCTTCTTGCTCATTCAAGCCAACATTAATTTATCTCTTCAAGGTCCCAATTTAATTCTTCATAAAGTATTGCAAAAATAAAAAGAGATCTAGATAATCACAATTGTTCATGAACTAAACGAGTCCCAACCAAACAAATTAATTTAGGGACGAAGAGTCTCAAAGAGTTGATCGACAGCTACAATATGAATTAATAGTAGCATTAGCAGTAAACAAGAAAGCATAACAGAACCCAATACAAAGCCGCTGTAGTGGAAAAACTAGATGTAAAAATTTCGAAAGGTGATGGAAAACCACACATGACAAATCAACGAGAAACTGGACTTATCCCTCCAAGTCATACTTCCTTTGAGCTCAAAAGCCAAAGGCTTACTTTGAAACATTTTAGAAGGCTAGATGAAGAGTCTTAGAGAGCTGATCGAGAGACTTGCTAGCTCTTCGCTTGAACGATGATGATTCCCAAAGCACCTAAACCAACAAATGATAATGAACATGATAAACTGGTCTCAAACTACTATGCAGTTTTGAGTGTGTGTGTGTGTGTGTGAGAGAGAGAGAGAGAGAGAGAGAAGGCCATGGGTACGTAGTGAGGCATAGAAGAAGGTCCGATGACCCCAAATCCCTCATTTAAACCTTCGATCTCCTTCAAGACCCGACGGCCCCGCAATTTGAAAGCCTGATGACGCTGAATCTAAAAGCGGCAGCGTCGTAAGCCTCGGTGGCTTGCTCTCTTCGTCCCTCTCTCTCTCTTCCATCATCATCGTCCAATAGATCCTCCTTGTCTTCTTTGATGCAAATTTGCGCGAACCATAGCTCTCCTCTTCATCTTCAAATTTCGAATTTCAAACACCAAACGAACATGGTTTAGACTTCCATCTTAGATTTGGACTCATCGCGTGTGATACTGCCTTCTCTCCCTCCATCTTCATTCCAGATCTGCCAAACATTTTGCGCGTCCTTCATCCTTTCATTTTTGTAGAAGATTTGTTTTTGTTATGAATGTGTTTTAATGAATGAAGAAAATGCCACATAGATGACCAGGCAAGCATTATTTAGTCCTACAAGGCATGCCAACAAAGCATAGGATGGTCAAAAAATGCAAATTAACGATCGTCATTAGGGAATCGTCAGTTTTGGACAACATTACACTATTTTAAAAAATATAAAAAAAACATTATACCTTTTAAAACTTTAAAATATCAATTACGTCTCAAAAAAAGTTTAAGAGTGAATTTTTGGTTTAACCCTTTTAATAATATCTACGATGTTATTGCAATAAAACATCATTGACAACATAATTTTATTTAATTTCTTCCGTCTCATTCTATGGTTACATTGAATATTTGCCAAAAAGATACTACTACTCGCTGAGAATGTGAGAAATTCTTCTATTACAATACTGGAGATAACTTACTTAACCGGGGAATTACTTTCCCTGGTTTTAATTTTGCCATAAATAAAAGACTATCCTCATTTTTTTTTTTGAGCAAAAAAAGACTATCCTCATATTGAAATAACTTTATTTCAAATCAAAACAAATTTTGTGGAAAGCGGGTACTTTGCGAGTGTGTTGTCCAGTAGAAGTCAACTAGATGTAAGAAGCAATGAATAGAATGAAAAGGGAGGAAAATAGATTCCAGCCAGACACACTCAAGTCATCTCGAACAGAACCATACACTTTTGTCCAAGTTCAAGGCTTCAAGTACTGCACCATCATTTTTTTCGTGGGAATAATTAAGCTTTTTATTCCCTGTGTTCCCTCCTTATCCTTCCTTCCTTTTTTTTTTTACTTTTTTTAAATTTCGGGAATTAATAAGTAAAATAAGCATGCTAAAGAAATTGAGAGAACGATTCGAATGCATAAAAATAGAAAATAAACTACGGAATTTTTTGGGCAACCGTGATAAACAAAAATGGCCAATTATTGAAGTACAATGATCTGATCCTTGAAAGTCCAGATAATTAAGCAGCACATGTAATGATGAATTCATGGCTAGTTAGTTTTGGTCAGCCTCTATAAAATCGGCTGTCTTGTTCCTCTAGGGTATTTAGAATTATATATATATATATATATATATATATATATCAAGAGGGTCCTGTGTGGCGCTGGGGTTAACATATCAAATTATTTTATCAGTACATTCAGTGAATTAAACCCGAAGAATCTTTCAGGTCATTGCCGAAAATAAAACAGAGACTAAGTTGGCGTTAAACTAGTCCTGGGTTAATTATTCAAGTTCCCTCTCCAACTTACCCAAAAGAACACAGCGGATAAGCTAGCTTGGGCAATGAAGCTAATTCAAGTTATGATTGAGAAGACACGGCACAAATACTTCCTCAAGGGGTAACACATTATATTGATGAACTTTATGCGGCAAACGGAGATACGGGACATGAATTATAGGGGTCAAGTGGAAGTTTAATTATTAATTAATTTAATAACATAATTTTTCTCGAAATTATGTATAGTCAAAAGCACACTCTAGCTAGCAGCTAGCCACATATTGCTACGTACTTATCCCTAAGGGGGAGCTAGCCATTAATTTACATAATTAGATCATTCACATTATCTACAGAACACTAATTATAATGTGGTTTTAATAATTCAGGTGACTCGATCACATGAACATCCACTCATCCATGCCACTGATGTAATGGGTCTGTGGCATGTAAAACACGCCATCGTCATAAGCCTCAACGCTAAGATCTCCCAGAAATGGTGGATTCACAGCTTCCATCGACTGTGACGAGCTGGGGCTGTTGCTGCTCGATACCCTTTCGACTCGCTCCTGAAGCCGTTGAATATCTCTCTCTGCTTCTGAAAGCTGCTCCTTTAGCTTCAGTACCTGCGTTATCACCAGTTCACCAAAATCTCAGTTAAAACGTCTGTCACTTTCCGACTTCCTCAAAAGTGGGCCGTAATGGCAAGGCCCAACATAACCTTGTACGGATTTCTTAAGCACCTTGTGCCTTTTGTCGTCTCCTAAGGCGGCATTATGCTATTCCTTGTCTTTTCCCTTCTCTTTTCCCTCTTACTTTTGTATGGATTTTAATGGAGAAGAATTTATCAAGACAACTCAGATTTCTTCTTCGAGAACGGAGCTTAGATGGTCTTGTTGGATCACTTTCTTCCCTTGTATTTTGTTGTTTTTTACCCCTCTTTTGTTCTTCGGTTGTTGTTTAGGACCAACTAAGGGTGCAACTAAACTTTCGGTACGTTCTCTTCTCTCTCTTAAAATTTTCGCGGATTAAACTATCGGGGGAAACAAGTTTTTTAGGCTAGAAAGCAACGGCTTGTAGAGCCAAACGAACGAGAGAAGTGGGAAAAAAAAGTCTAAGTAGAAGAAAAGTCCAGACATGCTTGCCCAAAATAGACATTATTGCGAGAAAGAAAAATGGACTGCGATGGAACTGTTTGGATAAAAAAGAAACCGACGGAAAACACGAAAAAGTCTTACTTTCCGACTCTCTAGGTAGCTCACTGACTGGCTCAGATCGTGCTTTAAAGTTCAGGAGACGATGGATAAACTCAAACTCACTGATGATAACAGGCTAGGTTCCAACAAATAAAGATTATTTGTAAGCACGAGAATACGTTGGGGCCATAATGAAATGAACCCCAGTAACGTAACTGAAAATATGGGGTGAAATTTTCTCGGGAACGAAGCAATGATAGTAGTTTAATTAAAAGGAAAAGAGAAGGAGAAGCTAAGCACCTCGGTTTCAAGGCGGCATTTCTCGAGAATGGTGGACTCGTGGACTTTCTTGAGGCTGGAGTACTCTTCCTCCAACTTCTTGTTCTTCCAACGCGCCCTTCGGTTTTGGAACCAAACAGCCACTTGACGCGGATCCAAGCCCAGCTCCGACGCCAGCCGGTCCTTCCGTTCAGACTCTAATTTATGTTCGTTACCAAAGTTTAGCTCTAGAAGATTCACCTGCTCTGCACTCAGCTTCCTCTTCTTAACTCCCCCGTCTCCGTTTTCTCCTCCCTTGTTCTTCTTACGACGTCGTCTCGGCTTTGTCTCCCCTGATTAATATTTTCAAACAGAGAAGCCATAGTTCAAATTTAGTGCCTTAGACGATGACGAATTCAGAAAAAGCAAAACGCTGATTAAAGTACCAAGATGGAAACCTTGTTGAGGAATTATTTGCGAGTAAGCACCAGGGTACAGCTGAGAGACAAGCACCATGTGATCGTCCATAGGATGAGGATTCGTGGGGGTAGATGTCACTCTCTAGTCCTCTCTCTCTCTCTCCCTCTCTGTACGAGTTATGTTCTCCCACAAAGAGCGAAATGGCTTTGGAGATACTCATACAACAAAGGCTTCCTTATTTATAAGGAAAACGATGCGCGTGTCTTCTTGAGTTTCTTTCATGTGGAGGACCGCCCTCTTACCAAAACTGCCCCTACTCTTTGTCAACATTTACAGATCATGGTGTCGTTTTTCTCTGTTATTATGGCAGCCATTTGATGATGTCCTACAAAACATGTACGTACAGACATTACAAAATAGTCGTATTATTTGTAAATAGGATATGAGATGCTAGAATACGCAATTCTTTAATCAACATTGAATTAAGTTGAGCAGCATGATATCTTTCTCCCCAGATTTTTACAAAAAAACAAAAAACAAAACAAAAGAAAGGGATAAAGTTTGTGTGCAAATAGAAAAATTTAAAACGCTTAAAATTGAGCAAAGGAAAAGAAATAATCCGTGAAGGTAGCAGCTAGGGACTAAATAAGTAATATGATGAAGATCATTTAGTAACCAGTGTGATCTAATAATTAGCCCAAGGGGGATGGCCATGATGAACGAATTGGAGAATGGGGAAATATTGAAAGAGAAACGTACAGATAAGGGCGGGTGTTTGGATAGAAGAGGAAAGTTGGCTTTTTCCAAACAAGAGAATAACAGAGAAAGAGAGGGTCAAAACGGGGTGTGAACATGACTAATTTAAGGGCTGAGCTGAGGGAGCTCAATTCCAAGGCAGTGAAAACGGATGGAGTTGGGATCCCAAGGCTGACCACCTCGAGACTAGTAAACAAATTAAAGGGAGAGAAGGTTGGCCTCTGGATTTGGACATGCAAGTCACTTTTGTTGTCCAATTGGGTGGTACTACGAGTAGCAGTTCATACAGCCAAACTGCTCTCTAACCACCTTTCCGGCTTTGTGATTAGGGCACGCGTGGCTCGAGATGAGTGAACCAAATTTTGATTTCTTCTTCCTCTTCTATGGAATTCAGCGTTGAGTTTACATCCATCGCTTGATCAGGAATCAGAAGTCACTACTCGAGTACAACGTTTCCTTTTCGTGCCTTCCGTCGTATCGTTCATTTTTCAGTTATAACCCATGTCAACCACATGCAGTTTTGACAACAATACAGCATTTCTGTTGTGGCCAAGCAAATTAAATCAACAACAACAATAATAATTAATCAGCCAAAAAACTAAATGCGCTATCAGTATCAATCACTATCAACATTCAAAGGAAAGAAATATCATTAGCAGAAAATTTGATAAACAGTCAAGCCCGTCACTAATTTCTCTAATTATTGATCCACTGATAGAAAATTTTTTGTCACTGTCCACAAGAAATACAATATTGCTAATCCATGCGATGGATATATATTCATCGTCTATCACTAATTTTTAGTGTTTTTCACTTTGAAAAAAAAAATATAGTTTTGGATATTTTTTCCTTGCCTTCTTGAGCTACCCCGCTCAACATTTAACTTCCCATACTCCATTCCATGCCCATGAATTATACTTTTATTTTACAAAATATGACTTCCCTGGTTTGAAACTCACAACCTCTAATGAACAAAATATTGTAGCCTATATTTATATATTATATATAAATTAATCAATAATTAAATTATATAAAATATATTTGTGTTATTTATTTCAAATATGATTCAATTTTTATTTCTATTGTAGGATGTCGTTTAAATAATAAAATCAATTATATATAAAAATTGTATGTACATATATAAATAAGTGTGTGCATTATTACATTATATTTTTATTTTACTTTATATGGTATTTTCTTTTATTCATTGCGATAATTAGTGACTAGAGCTAGTAGCAAAATCATATTCGTCGTCACTAAAATTTTGAATATCAATGACAAACTTCAAAATTTATTGGTACTTCCTCTATTAAAAAATGTAAGTTATTTTTTGAGAGTTTAAATATTTAAAAATATAAGGTATTTTTAATATTTCAAAGAGTAATTACAATATTTTTTTCAAAAGTACCCATAATATATAAATTACTTTATATTTATTTTAAAATGAGATACCCTAGCTACTCCCTCCTTCCCTATGTATAAGAAGTTTTCTAAAAAAAAAAATTGTTTTTAAATATAAGATGTTGTTAACATATTTTTAATTAATGGATTATTGTATCCTTATTACATTGGAAAGAAAAAAAGATAAGTACTCATTAATTTACTTTAAAAAAATATTTTTTATTTACAATAATTAGGAGAAAAATGAAAATATTACTGTGATTTTATTGGTTTGAGTAATTCGGTTAAAAACATTTCATATATAAGGATAGAGGAATTATTAAATAGGAGTAAATATAAAAAAAATAGTATTATTTTGAAGACAAATAACTACTTTCTTGAAAATAAAATTCAGTTAAAAATGCTTTATATTTTTTAGCAACAGAATAATTTATTACTAAATTTTTGCTATTAAATCTATTTTTTCTAGTAGTATCTAATTAATGTGACAAAATATACATAGATATAAAATCCACAAAAGGGAACAATATTTTGAGTTAAAAATTAAGCAAGATATTGTATGGTTTGTTGGGGTAAAAACTTCAACCGGATAAATTCAATTGGCGAGACTGAGTACGCTTTCTTTTATTCCCCGGCCATAGTACAGTATTTGCGCTTTGAAAAAAAGACCTCTCTTTCTTCCCTTTCTTCTTAGCTAGCTTTTTTCTAAGTATATTGATTAGGAGACAAAATATAGTATATTGAGTATAAATAATTCTCCCTACTTAAACATTTTTTTACTGTAAAGACTCCGCCGTTTATCAAATACATTAATGCGATATGTCAATCACCAACTTCCCCACTCATTTGGCATGGCATTCCACCTCCTTCTTGTTGTAGTAATTGTATGTGTGTTAAAAGAAGTCTCACATTACCTAAATTAAAAGTGCTCCTAGTATATAAATACTAAAAAATGAAATGGGATAGTAAAATGAGCTTGAAAGAAAAGTGAACTCATGCCTATGAAACAGGCCAACTCAAAGCAATTGTGATTGAAAACAATCAATTCGTCCTCCCTATGCATGAGTTCAAGAGACATTAGGTTCTTTTTACTAGATTATTTTTGCAAAAAATAAATAATTATTTCTTTTATGAGCTTACCAAAAGACCTCAAATTTTTGCCGTTTGAAGTTTGAATTCTAGTCTTGGCCGTTTCTGAGTGTTAAACCATTTTTTTAACATATTTGTTAATCAATTTTCATTACTGTTTCATCCCCCCAACGGCTCAGTGCTTAATGAAAATTATATTCTTGTAACCAAAGTTTAATGGTGAAGTTAATCCGATGATTGCACTCCAACGTTCATCCAAGATTTTGACCTATATATAGGCATGCATGCAGACAAAACAATCCGCTTGCCTCTTGAGCTTTCAAGGCTTTTCTTTCTTTCTCCGACTTCTGTTGTGTTCTTCTTCTTCGTTTGAGTTTCTTAGTGTTTGTTGTTTTGTACCCTTGCATTTTGCAGGACATGCTTGTTTAATCTTAGAGAACTACCATGCCAGTGTTTTAAAATAGTTCTTAAAAACAGTGTCTTCGAGCATGATTCAAGCAACTTTTGATTTGCCTCCGTACTGCCAACAGTTCTCATCTTCTCTCCAATCTAACCAGCGTCATCATCGTCTGAGATCCATTATTTTAAATGTTAAAATCGAGTTGTATATATTTTGTGCGCAGTTGCCCGCACGAGAATGAACGGCGGAAATTCAAGGCGGAAAAAAAAAAGCGTGACAAAAAGACAATTCTAGACATTCGTCATTGTTTACGTCATTCTTGGTTGCCCATTAAATTAGAATTGTCGTCTGTCTAGAGCAGGAAGCTCTTGCTTATGGAGGACTAAGAATAGTGCGAGGAATTTAGGGAATGAGATTGAGCCTCCCTCACCCTCACATCCATGGCTCTGCATTCTTCCTTTTTTCTCATCCAGAGAAATACACGCAAGAGATCGATGAAGGGAATATAATGGCCTTGAGTTAATGGGTAACACGTGTTCATTTTTTAAAAAAGCCATATATAACCCATGAAAAGAGCCTGATGGGTGAAATCATTTTTTTGGTCTCTCTCTCACAAACTGATAGCACTACATAAAGTTAGGAATAGTCATGTTCCAAAAATTAAACTATACACGGGAACCAGTTGCGTACCTGTTATGTTCAATATTTTCTGGTTAATATCAGCAGCCTAAAATTTGAATTGAAAACAAATCAGATAACTAGACATATTCGTCACGGTTTCCCTTGGTAAATATTGTCCAACGAATTAAGGAACGCAAAGGCTGGCTGGGTCATATCCATCGCCACTTGTGTCTTTTCTAAAATTTATGTCTACTTTTATGTTCCATGTACTCGAGTGGTTGCGCTTGCGATAATGATCCAAAGGAACATGTATAATGGAAGGAAGCACGTGGCAAAAATGGAACAATGTTGGGGGGAATATTCAGATTCAATCCCCAGACAACAAGTAAAGCATGTCCACTTTGTCTGTCCTTGCGAGAAAAAAAGAGTTCTCTATCCAAAGTGAGGACCAGCGGAGTTTGGCGACGACAAAATGAAAAGCCTCCCTCCGATATTTTCCTTGCCACCCATCAATCATTCACTTCCAGGGCCAGAACCCTTCCTTTGCTTTCCATGTTCATTACATCGGTGGCCCTCAATCATGCACCCAGCTCGAGCCATGCTTAACTTCAACCGTGAAATCATACGAGCGAGATTTTTTTTTTTTAAAAAAAGGAAGATGAAAACATTTTTCGAGAGATAAATAAATCAAGGAAATCTGAAGTGCACGCGTAGTTGGCAGTTAATGGTTGGTGGTTCCGTGGGTTGGAGGGAGTGGGGCCCGCTCGAAGGTGAAGAAGCCAAGTCAAAGCAGCTTGGAAGAGCGACTTCAAAAGGGGTAATGCACTCATTGCCGTGACCAGTTATACTTGCACATGATATGGAGCATTTTCAAAAGTTTACTTCAAAATATAAAATACTTGAAGTTTTCATACTTTTAAATTAAAAAAAATAATAATAAAT